CATCAAGTCTGATGTGTCATTTGAGGCCTGTATTTCCTTATTGACTTTCTGTCTGGATGATCTGTCCATTGATGAAAAGTCCCCCACTGTTACTGTTGATTTCTCTTTTTATGACTCTTAGTATTTGCCTTATATATTGAGGTGATCCTGTGTTGGGTGCATATATATTTACAATTGTTATATCTTCTTCTTGGATTGATCCCTTGATCCCTGTGTAGTGTCCTTCTTTGTTTCTTGTAACAGCATTTATTTTAAACTCTATTTTGTCTTCTGTGAGTACTGCTACTCCAGCTTTCTTTTGATTTCCATTTGGGAATACCTTTTATCCCTCCCCTCACTTTCAGTATGCATGTGTCTCTAGGTCTGAGAAGTGGACCTCTTGTAGACAGCTCATATACAGATCTTGTTTTTGTATTCATTCAGCCAGTCTGTGTCTTTTGGTTGGGACATTTAATTCATTTACATATGGTAGTTAGCAACATGTATGTTGATACATAGGTCTTAGGTCTTTTTTCTTCCTTTCTTCTTTTGTTCTCTGTGATTTGATGACTGTCTTTAGTGTTGTGTTTGGACTCCTTTATCTTTTCTGTGTGTGTATCTACTATAGATTTTTTTGTTTGCAGTTACCATGAGGTTTTGATATAGTAGTCTATATATATGCACATAATTGTTTTAAGTCACTGATCTCTTAATTCCAAATGTGTTTCAAATATCCTGCATTTGTACTCTCCTCGTGATTACTAGCTTAGATATATTTGTGTGTAGATGATTTCCTACCTTTACTGTATGTTTGCCATTACCAGTGAGCTTTCCCATTTTGTAATTTTCTTGTTTCTAGTTGCGGCATTTTCCTTTCCACCTGGAGAAGTTCCTTTAGCATTTCTTGTAAAGCTGCTTTGGTGGTACTAAATTCTTCTAGTGTTTGCTTGACTGTAAAGCTTTGGATTCCTCTGTCAAATCTGAATGAGAGCCTTGCTGGGTAGAGTATTCTTGGTTGTAGGTTTTTCCCTTTCATCACATTAATTCTATGGTGCCACTCCCTTCTGGCCTATAATGTTTCTGCTGAAAAATCAGCTGATAACCTATGGGGATTCCTTTGTATGTTATTTGTTGCTTTTCTCTTGTCAATTTAATATTTTTTCTTTGTCTTTAATTTTTGTCAGTTTGATTACTGTTTCTTGGCATGCCTGAGACTCTCTTCCTGGACTTAGGTGACTGTTTCCTTTCCCATGTTAGGGAAGTTTTCAGCTTTTATCGCTTCAAATATCTTCTCAGGCCCCTTCTCTCTCTCTTCTCCTTCTGGGACCCCTATAATGCGAATGGTGGTGCATTTGATGCTGTCCCAGAGGTCTCTTAAACTGTCCTCATTTCTTTTCATTATTTTTTCTTTATTCTTCTCTGTGGCAGTGATTTCCACCACTGTGTCTTCCAGCTCACTTATCCATTCTTCTGTTTCATTTATTCTGCTATTGATTCCTTCTAGTGTTTTTCATTTCAGTTATTGTATTCTTCAACTCTGTTTGGTTGCTCTTTACATTTTCTAACTCTTTATTAAAAACTTGTAACTTCTCTTGGGCTTCCCTGGTGGCGCAGTGGTTGGGAGTCCGCCTGTCGATGCAGGGGGCACGGGTTCGTGCCCCGGTCCGGGAGGATCCCGCGTGCCGTGGAGCGGCTGGGCCCGTGAGCCATGGCCGCTGAGGCTGCACGTCCGGGGCCTGTGCTCCGCAACGGGAGAGGCCACAGCAGTGAGAGGCCCGTGTACTGCAAAACAAACAAACAAACTTGTAACCTCCCACTCTGTGCATCCATTCTTTTCCTGAGTTCTTGGCTCATCCTTGCAATCATTATTCTGAATTCTTTCTCGGGTAGATTGCCTATCTCCATGTCACTTAGTTGTTCTTCTGGGGTTTTATGTTGTTCCTTCATCTGAAACATATTCCTCTGCCATCTCATTTTGTCTCAATTTCTATTTGTATGTTTATGTATGTGGAAGTTATGTTTCTTAACCTTGGAGAAGTGGCCCTCTGTAGGGGATGTCCTATGTGTCCCAGCAATACATTCCCTTCTTGTCACCCAAGGGCCAGGGGACCAGCTGGTCCCAGGGTAGGTTCTGATCTGCGTTTGCTGACTTGGTTCCGCACGCTGCTGGATCCTAGTTCTCTTGCTTCTGATGTCTGCCCCCTAGTGGGTGGGGCTGGCCTAGAGGCTTGTGCAGGCTTCATGGTGGGAAGGGCTGATGCTTGCCCACTAGTGGTGGGTGGGGCTGGGTCTTGGCCCTCTTCTGGGCAGGGCCATGTCAAGGGGCATGTCTAGAGGTGGCTGTGGGATCAGGAAGTCTTTATGCAGCCTTTCCACTGGTGGGTGGGGCTCTGTTCCCGCCATGTTGGTCATTGCACCTGAGGTGTCCCAGCACTGAAGCCTACAGGCGGTTGGGGCCAGGTCTTGGTGCCAAAATGGCAGCCTCCAGGAGAGCTCGTGCCAATGAATATTCCCCAGTACCTCTTCCACCAGTGCCCTTGTCCCCACAGTGAGCCACAGCTGCCCCCTGCCTCCCCAGGAGACCCTCCGAGACCAGCAGGCAGGTCTGACCCAGGCTCCTGTGGAGTCACTGCTTTTGCCCTGGGTCTTGGTACACACACGAAATCACGTGAGCCCTCCAAGAATGGGGGCTCTGTTTCCTCTGGTCCTGTGGAGCTCCTGCACTCAAGCCCCACTGGCCTTCAAAGCCAAATGCTCCGGGAAGTCCTCCTCCCAATGCCGGACCCCCAGGTGGGGAGTCTGACATGGAGCTCAGAACTCTCACTCCTGTGGGAGAACTTCTGCGACATAATTGTTCTCCGGTTTGTGGGTCGCCCACCCAGGGGATATGGGATTTGATTATTTCGCAAGTGTGCCCCTTCTACTATCTCGCTGAGTTTCTTCTTTATGTCTTTGGATTAGAATATCGTTTTTGGTAGGTTCCAGTCTTTTTATCAATGGTTGTTCAGCAGTTAGTTGTGATTTTGGTGTGCTCATGTCAGGAGGTGAGCTCAAGGTCCTTCTATTCTGCCATCTTCATGATGTACATACTCTTAATTACTGATTGATAGATGTTTTTACGAACCAGTGCCGTATCGACAGGCTCAACAGAACCCCTTCACAGTAGCAATAAGGAAGTCTAATTGTGCATCTATAACAGAACTTCCTTCAGCACCAACTGGGTAACCACTGGGATTCTGAGTGATGCAGGATGCCTCAGCAACACTGGCAGGAGTCCTTGTCCAGCTTCTAGAAGCTGTCTGTGTTCCTTGAATCGTGGCTCCCTGCCTCTGTCTTCAAAGCCAGCCGTGGCAAGATAGATAAGTCCTTCTCACCTTGCCATCCTAGATATCTAGTCTTCTGACCCAGTTTGCTAGTATTTTGTTGAGAATTTTTGCATCATCTATATTCATCGAAGATATTGGCCTGTAATTTTCTTTTTTTATATTGTCTTTGTCTGGTTTTGGTATCAGGGTGATGGTGGCTTCACAGAATGACTTTGGGAGTGTTCCTTCTTCAATCTTTTGGAAGAGTTTGAGAAGGATCAGTATAAGTTCTTCTTTGTATGTTTGGTAGAATTGCCCAGTGAAGCCATCTGGTCCTGGACTTTTATTTGCAGGGAGGCTTTTTTTTTTTCTCTTTAAATTACAGATTCTATTTCATTTCTAGTGATCAGTCTGTTTGAAATATCTGTTTCTTCTTGATTCAGTTTTGGTGGGTTGCATGTTTCTAGAAACTTGTCCATTTCTTCTAGGTTGTCCAATTTGTTGGTATATAATTGTTTGTATTTCTGTGGTATCAGCTGTTTGTTTGTTTGGTCTCTCTTAATTGGTTGTTGTTTGGTTTTTTTTGGCCACATGGCATGTGTGTGGGATCCTTGTTCCCTGATCGGGGTCGATCCCACACCCCCTGCATTGAAGTGCAGAGTCTTAACCAATGGACCACAAGGGAAGTCCCTGATCTCTCTTAATTATTAAATGGAAGTAAAGTATAGACTGTAAAATGATATCCAGACAGTGATTGTACCATGAAAAATAATGAGGTCTTATTCACTGAACATTTCTAGGTGCCCAAATCTGTGCTAAGCCAGTAGTCTTCACACATCCTTCCTAAATGTTGTCATCACCACCTGTTGAGACTTACTTAGCGAAACTAGCATCTTGGTAGGGTCATTTGGATCATAACAACTGTATGATATGGAATTTACACAGAAATGTCAGACCTCCATCTCCAGGATCTCAGTCAACTTGCTGTGTGAGATCCCTATGTATATGCATGGATTAGGATGCAAACCCAGAGAAAAAAAGAGCAATGGCTGCATTGGAGTAAAAGGGTTGTGGTTGTTTTGTTCTTTATTTAAGGAAAAATGAATTACTGGTGTAAAAATATATGTAATAAAAGTTGGGAGAAGAAAAAAAACTGCATCTAAAAAACCTACCTGGGTTGTATCACTGGATGGACCTTGAGACTTTTATTGCTGCGGGTGCTGGGTTTCATTTTTATTCCTAAACCTTTACGGTCTTCTGGTCCCTGTGAAAGTTAAGAGAAAGTTAGGGTGGCAAGAAATCCACCGACATGCCCTCCGGCCCTCACCAAGTTAGGTAAAAGTACTGCCCTTTGTATCAGAGGAGTGGTAGCTTTCCCCAAGTGGTGATCAGTTTGCTCTGAGCCATCGTAAATCCCGCCCCGTCTCCTTCTTTATCTAGGGAGGGCTGTTCAGGCATGGTGCTGTCAGTAAGGTAGCCATCCCTATGAAGGGTGAACCTGAAACTTTGCACCCACTTGTCTCATGCCCCCCTCCCACCAGCTGCCCAGGAGATGACGAAGCTAATCACATTCAGCCCTTTCACTTGTGCTCCTTTTATAAAGGACATGACTTTACAGCCTAGTAGGAAAGTACATGTTTGTCTCATTGGTGAAGCATGTCCTCACTCACCCTGCCTCCTTGTTTCCCAAAAGTGACTTTTCTTCCTTTCTGACAGATATCTGCAAACGAAATCGAAATGCTTTTGATGAGGTTGCCACGCATGTTTAAACAGGAATTCACAGGCGTGGGAGCAACGCTGGAAAAAAGGTGGAAGTTGTGTGCCTTTGAAGGAATTAAAACTACCTAACTGTGAAGAGCAGCAGAGTCTCTGGGTATGAAACTGCCTGAACCCAGCCAGGGCTGCGCAGTGTGAGCCCAGGAGGTTCGGGGCTGGTCCAGCGCAGGACCTTTATGGGGCCATCAGAGCCGGACTTCAGTTACATCTGTGGCGTTCTCTCGTGAGTGGAAATGTAATTGTGTACCAGTTCCCTAAAACAAACAAAGCTTCATACTGTGACAGATCTGTTTGCTATGAAAACCAACGATTCCACGGTCATGATGGCAAAACCTTAAAATATGCTACGTTTGAGAATAGCTCACCAAGTAAAATATTTAAAGTTAATGATGGTGTGGCAATGGTTGTTGCTAGGCTACAGAGTTGTTGTATATGTAATCTATAGCTGAAATCATTCAATGACATTTTCCTGAAAGTCTTTCTGTTTTAGTAAAAAAAAAAAAAAAAAAAAGAGAGAGAGAAAAAAAGTAATTTTACAGTGAGGAAAATAAATCATACCAAAAGAAAACTTGAATATGTGTCTGAACAGTTACTGTATTTTGTAAATTAAGTTATATGCTGTTATAGGGACTTCTGCCTTATTGAAGAGGCAGAAGATGTGATTGTACTCCTTGAGAATGCTTTACCAAGAATATTATTTTTCTAATGTAACAGTTCTCCATCATAAGTTCTTTTAACATGGACGGCATAACAATTTTCATAAAATGTAAATAAAAGAAAAACTAGTGCTACTGTCTTGTACTTGGTATAAAATTCAGGTTTCTGCATCAAAATAAACATTTAGTAAATATTCCTGTTACAAATTTTATAGCAAAGATATTAATTTTTTTCAATAAATATGACTTCTACCATATTGGTTTTGCAAATTGTTCTTTGATATATTTTCATTCTTCCTTAAGAAATATTTTGCACATTATTCAGTCCCATCTCACAGACCATCATTTGTAAATGATTAAATAAATGCATGAGTGACATTGAGACAAAATGTTATTTCAAACAGGAATATATAAAAATCATAAAGTGGAAAGTACTAAGAAAAGGAGATTATACAGCACTAGAATAGACAGACAGATAGTATTTGAAAATACCAAGATGATATGACATCCAAATGTAATCAACATAAATGTTACCGTTGTTTTGTGTCCTCATGCATAGGAACGAAGTAGCCAGTTAATATTATTAATTCCTGGATTTACTTATTTGTATGTTTTCTGGAATACATACAAGTTAGAAAAGGAATTCAAGAATTCACACTTGGACCAACAGTTTAGAGAGAATTGGAGCTTCCCTTCTTTAATTACAAGTAGACTAGGGCTTTAAATTGTATCTCCTTCCTGCTTCCTTACATAAAAATTATTAAAAAAAGACAAGTATTCAAGATATTGATTAATTTTAAATGAAACATTTTTTAGGAAGACAGCTGAACAGTGAATGTTCTTTGAAATTCTGAAAAGACATTCATAATTCCCTATTGGACATTATTGTCCTCAGGCTCTTTTTACTGAGCCCTGATAAATTAAGGTTCTTATTCATGCCTCCCATAAATATCTACACATATGTTATGTTCAGGCTCAGTGCTAAACCCATGAATATGGAGCTGAGTAAGAAAGGACCCACCCCCTCCCGCCCCCAATGAGCTCATAGTTCAATGGGGAAAAAAGACATTTTCCCAAAAGTGTCTGTATGATGTGAGCCACGTAACAGAAAAGGTGTGACAACAGAGCTATGGGATTCAAACTAAATATCAATGTCATATTAAATGTTGAAATACTAGAGGCCTTACCATTACCACCTGTTAATGCCCACTACCACCCTCATCCTGACACATGTATCCAGAGCGAGCTAGCTCCTGCTTAAGTTACTACTGACTAAATTTTCTTCATTTTCTCTTTAGTCCAGTGTTATCAGGGGAAGCAAGAGAAATGAAGCATGCCAACTTTTATCCAAGCATTTTAGGAAATTGTGGCAGCTTTAGAAGGCTGTCTAGTTTTCTATTCCTTAGCCAAAGGAAAGCCAGAACAGGTTTTGGATACTAGAGAAAGTCATATGCTTGTACCATTGCCATTTTGGAAAGCTCTGATGTGAATTCAAACTATGCACTCTGATACGTAAAGCCAGCAATTTTAAAGCAGGAGTTTTACTGGCCACTTGAACTCTTTGTACACAGTGTCAATTTGTTAAAAAAAAAAAAAAACAGAAAGAGAAAAAAATAAAACATGAGAGAACATTTTAAGACTTCAAAAAAAAAAAAAGGAGACACAAATAAGGATACAACGGTCAGAAAGGAGACGACCTCATCTATAGATAACGTTACTATAAAATAGAAGACCTAAGAGGTTCACCTGAAAAATAATTAGAAAAAACGAATTCTGTGAAGTGGCAGTTATAAAGTAGGGACACAAGGGGAGGTACCACAATCTAGACTATCTGCAACTTGAAAGTCTGGTAGATGTTTTCAAACGTGCATTCATACTTTCAAGTATTGCCTGTAGTCACTTTAGCCGAAGGATACACTGCACAGGGTGAACCTAGCTTAGACCTCTGATTAGGAAAAGGGGTTGGTGCGACCTTATTTTAGATCTGACAAAAAGACACCACTTTCTAACTTCTTCAATTGTGAAAAGAACTTTTGCAGGAAAATAAAAAAAACTTCTAAATTAGTTCACCCACATTCTGGTTTCAGATGGGACTTTAGAGATCACCTGGGGAAGGAACTAACTTTGGTACCTTTGAGGGCCGTCTACACATGTCTGCCACCCCATCCTCCCTAATCTTCGGGATAACCCTATACAAGGATAGTATTATTGTCCTCATTGGTCACACAAGGAGAATGAGGCCCGGAAGTTCTAACAATTTGGCCCAGTTCGCACAGTTAGAAAATTCTGAATATGGGATTTGAAACCAGGACCCAGTGACTCCAAAACATGTTCTTCTTTTCGCTACATCACGCTTCTAGTTCAGTCTATCCCCACTCCTCCTGTGAGCCCGATGCCCATGCAGTGCCTTCGGATCACCGCTTTTACTCTCCTTTATTCTCCACCATGCCCTGCACCTGCGTACAAGTGGGTACACTCTGGCCTTTGTCTCCTAAATCTACCAGTAACAAATCATTGTTCTTGGATTCTGAGAAGTAAGCACAGCGTTGAAAGTTTGGAGATCCTTGTAACCCGGCCCCAACGGGGCTTTCTGGCTTGCTTTTTCACTGCTCCCCTGAGTAGGGCTAACATTTTTTGCCTTTCTGCTTTTGCTCATATCTTTCTATCTGAAGGAAAAGACCTTACGCACATCTAGTTGTCAAAATTCTACACAGCCTTAAGAGGAAAACACAAAGGACACCCTCCTCTGCCGTGAAGCTTTTCTCCATTCCCCAGAAGTCATTTCTCCGGCCTGTGCACGGCCGTCCCACATTGACTATTTCTTAAGGCATTTGCTGCCCAGCTGTCTTTGCCTCATCTCCCCGTTAGACCGCAGGTTCTTTGAGGGATCCAAGCGTGTCTCCTTTACTTTGAATTATTTCTCAAAGTGGTTTTACTTAGAAATATTTAGAAAGCAGGACAGAGAAGGAACCAAGATGTTTTCCTGCCTCCAGAGACTAGTTTGCTTAGACACAAAAGGAAAAGTTACAAAGTATTTGAAAAAGGCTGCAAATATTTTAGATCCAAGATTCCAAGACAGACAATGTGATAATGTACTACATAATATTGAAATACAAAAAGCAACCCAATTCCTTCTTAAGGTTCAAACCCAGGTCAATTATTAACTCTTCTATGAAGCCCTGATCCCCTCAGGAATCTCCTCTCCTACATTCCCACTACTTCAGTATAATTCTACTGCAGCCCTAATGCTGTACGTTAACCATTTATGAATGCAGCTGTCTCTCCCACATCCTGCAGGCTGGAGACCTCCCTTACTCATCCCTCTAGTCCCTCAGACTGACGCGACATACCATGACTTTTAAGTATTTATTGACTGAATGAACCCAATGCATGAAAGAAAAGCCCACACAGGAATTTTCTGAATTTGTTGAATCAGACGTATTGAGATATTAGGTCCAGTAATAGAGGCTAGAACTTTCTTTCCCTCCGTTGTAAGACCTCGGCAGCATTCTTGCCTTTTTGAAAAAAATTTTTTGTTTGGAAAAATATGTATAACATAATATTTATCTTTTAACCATTCGTAATTGTATAATTCAGTGGCACGAAGTACATTCACAATGGTACGTAACCAGTCACCACTCTATAACTTTTCCTCATCATCCCCAACAAATTTTACGGTACCCATTAAACAGTAACTCCCTGTCCCCCCTCCTTCAACCCCTGGTAACCTCTCTTCTACTTTACGTCTCTTTGAATTTGCCTATTCTAGGTCTCTCATACATGTGGAACATACAGTATTTGTCCTTCTGTCTCACTTACTTCACTTAGCTAAATGTCTTCAAGGTTCATCCATGTTGTAGCATGTGTCCGAATTTCATTCCTTTTTGAGGCTGAATAATATTCCATTGCTGGCTTAAGTATCCCTTTTCTGTTGGAACAAGGAAAAGTCAGTGGTCTATGCTTGAAAGGACTCAAGTACTTTTAGTAAATACCACATCAAAAACAACATTGGAAAGTGTAGACAAGTTTGTTTCCATCTTGATAAACCTCTCGTTTTCAATGAGGGTAATAAAAATGACAAAAGTAGAAAATGTTGGCAGTAATTGTGTAGAAAACGAGACTTTCAAACAAACATCCATGCGACAAATATGGTATGTGACACGTTGTTTTTTCTTGGTAAGGGCTGGGGGTGTTTTACTTGGATGTTTTTTTTTAAACCCCTTTTCTAAAAATGGGTGCTGTGTTTATTTGTCACACTCAATAAAAGCTGTTTTATCCTGAAAACGTAAGAACTATTTTACCATAATGCTCATAGTTTCTCCTCATAAACTCAGAAAATAAAGAGATGTTAGGCTCCTAAAATCTTACAGCTTGGCTCACTTTATATCAAAATGGTAAAAGGTTCACCTGTATATTCAATCAGCCTGTCATTAGTATCTGAATAAACTATACTTTTATGTGTAGCACACCAAACATGAACATTTCAGAGTTAAGTTATAATGAATGTGTTTATATATTAGATCATTAAAAATACTGTGTTTCTAGTTCCACCAACTCTAATTTCCCTCTTCTGCTTTCTAGTGGATTTTTTCTTTTTTTTAATTTCTGGGCTTCAAACATTTAGCAATTTCTCATACTATGTAGGAGAGCGTTCAGTCTGTGTCAGAGTTGAGTCCCAGCCCTAACCCTCACCGGCCTTGTGACTAAAGCTCGTTACTTAAAGCCAGTGAGGTGCTAGTCCCAGATTCATGATACGGTACTGCGAACACCTATGTCGGAGGATGGCTGTGATGATTAAATAAGAGAGCATGCATTAAGCACACAGATCAGAGCCAGGGAGACTGAGGCACTGGCTTCTTCAGAAACAGTACTTTAGCTATATCATCCCAAACAAAGCAGCCAACTGCCTTCCCTGCTCTTAGCCCATTCCTGTCTTTAGGGATAAATAGTCAATATGTTTCTAAACATACGAATAAAATAAGACAAGCATAAGCATCACCCCCACAAATAGTCCATTAAATATGTTCAATAGTCCAGTAAATACGTTAAGACCAACATAAGCAGAATAGTTGCAACTCTCTAACCTGCAATGACACTCACAACTCTTATAGTCAAATGGGCAGTCAGTCACCATCACGGTGACCCTCAGCCAGGAGTAACTCTAGAGCCAGAATTCTTTGTTACAGCTCCCTTTTTACTTATTTCGCATATTTCCAACAGACAGTAATCAGGGTCATATACATTCAACTGGGAAGAA